GGGAGATCGAGACTATAGCACTAAAATTCATTGCTTGTGCAGTTTTTTGCTGAGTGCATATCCCTCATTCAAGAAAATCCTCAACTCCTCTATAGCAGAAGGGTTAATAACGACGTCCGTTTTCAACACCTACTTTTTTCCATGATTCCACCGATGCGATTTTATTAACTCAGCTGACACCTACTTAAATCGAAATGATTTCGTTTGGAAATTCTTTTTACTACATGAGTGCATGAATATCGCATTTGCATTGCACTAGCCCCTTCCATACTGTTATAGATCTTGGTTCTGATACCTAGTCCTGGACACAATTGTTAATAAATACAAAATATCACCGCTGATCCCTGCCGTGAATCCAGATCCATTCAGAACATGGGTGCTTCCTTGCAGCATCGGCTATGTTGTGGCCGGTATACCGAGGAGTGCGCTAAGGACGTTGCTCGAAAGAAGACAGGACTCTTGTTTGCCGTGTGGGCTATTTTTCGTGTTAAAACATAGTCCCCAGTCCTACCTTTACGCCTGCGTACAAGTACTCACTTATGTCTCAGTAATACATTTGGTGTTCGGTACTTTACTGTGGTAACTTGGAAATGATGACCCATTTACGAGATCTAGGACCTCATTGAACAAGCAATAAGTCATAATATCTAGTTTAGTTGTAAAAGCATGGCTACGTGTGCGACACTTGAATCACTCGACTGGCGGTTATATTAACTGGAAAATTGGACTGGTCCTTAAATATATACAAAAGTATCACGTCTTAGATTTCCCACTAAATACAAGCACACCAATATTTTAAAACCTATTTTTCAATCTAAAAGTTCTAGAACTTTCAAAACCATATTCTAGTTGTCTGCCCTAACCGTATTTACCCCGTCTTTAGCTTTTGAACGCAAGAACCATTGGTCAATGTGGTAGCAGCGGACAAATGCTACTCTTGAAAGAAGTGCTACAAGTAGTTTTGGCTTTGCCACACTAACCGCAATCTTAGCCATACACAAACTACTCGTATTTTGTAAAGGAAACATAATGAATCCCCTCAAAACCACCCTCTGCTTATAAATGTAGAAGTTCAGGAACCTGAGATTTGGCTGGGAGGCTCTACAGCCATGGCTATCATTTTAATATAGTTCATCCTTAATGGTACGTCTTTGACAGTCGACTATTGTCAAAATAAAAACGATTGCCTTTCTCAGGCGTTTGACGTGATCCAGTGATATCTGCGTCTACTCTCCCGCATGGAATTTTGTTTGATAAGAGCTCAAAGTATCAGATCGTGGCGTGGTAGGATAGAGTGTTGAAGTTATGCGTGATTCACTTTAAAGTAGCGTTACTACTGCAGCACTATCCGTGTCAGCCGAGGAAGGCCTGAGACAAAAGTATTTTAGCTGTCATGAGCACTATGCTCCCTAGACCGCACGTCAAAGTCGCAAAAACTGCAGTCCTCCTCATCACTATACCGCTAAGAGCTCAACCCCATTATCACATTGAGGCTTAATGGTCATTATGCATAATGAGCCGTTTGTCTATCAAGTGGTGCTTAAGATGTAAGACCATTGTATGTATTCCAAACAAGAGGGTGGAAGAAAGAAGTAAATGAGGTTGGATACATGCATTCCGAAGAGGACAGAGGAAATGAGCCTGAGCATGGCCCGAAGACCAGCCCAAAATTACAAGGGCCAGACAAATTCTAAAGTGAACGCCTAGTGCCAGGTTAACCTTGAAACCTCGTAGGCTATAGCTCGTGTTCTTCAGTCCTTGTGTTTCTTAGGGAGTCTGCATTTTCCCCAATGTCGCTTGGATTCATCCTTAGAGTTATCCACTATCAATGCCACACAGTAAATGCTGCTTAGCTAATCAAACACTTCCATCTGGTCGAGTTTCCTTAGGAAGTTCTTTTGCGCTTGTTTAATTTATAGCGCTAAATGGTACTGTCAAAACTATTAATAACGATGCGTTTTGACATTAAGAATATACTTGCCAAGTTTAACTCCTATTCTAGGCTCATTCTTTGACTAAAATGCTGAAATATTATACCGTATGCGATAAAGTGCCAGCGACACGAGTTATGACCTTTTCTTGTTTAATCGTATTACACCATCTTAGCCTAGTTTTGTGCGCTTGGGATTAGTAGGACTTTCGATATGCGTGAGATTGTACACGTTCAAGCTGGACAGTGTGGCAACCAGATAGGCGCTAAGGTAGGTGCTTGTACTTTTGCTTTTTGTGGCACTAGTTCTGGGAAGTAATATCGGACGAACATGGCATCGACCCAACTGGAACTTACCATGGGGATTCTGATCTGCAGCTTGAACGCATTAACGTTTATTACAACGAAGCGACCGGAGGGAAATATGTTCCAAGAGCCATTCTTGTTGACTTAGAGCCTGGTACTATGGATAGTGTTCGAGCTGGACCTTTCGGTCAGCTTTTCCGTCCAGACAATTTTGTTTTCGGACAAAGTGGTGCTGGTAACAACTGGGCTAAAGGACATTATACTGAGGGAGCTGAACTTGTTGATTCAGTGTTGGATGTTGTTCGGAAGGAAGCTGAGTCTTGCGATTGCCTTCAAGGCTTTCAACTGACGCACTCCCTTGGCGGTGGGACTGGGTCAGGAATGGGAACGCTCATGATTTCCAAAGTGAGAGAAGAATATGCAGACCGAATTATGAACACATTTTCTGTGGTTCCTTCTCCCAAGGTATGGGTAGTACTTTCTAGTTCTTTTTAGGTGTCTGATACGGTTGTGGAACCATACAATGCCACACTTTCCGTCCACCAATTGGTTGAAAACACCGATGAGACCTATTGTATTGATAATGAAGCCCTCTACGATATCTGCTTCCGTACTCTTAAATTGCAGACACCGACTTATGGTGACTTGAACCACCTGGTCAGTGCAACAATGTCAGGTGTTACTACCTGCCTTCGCTTTCCTGGTCAGCTTAATGCAGATCTCCGCAAGCTAGCTGTTAACATGGTTCCATTTCCTCGTCTTCACTTTTTTATGCCTGGTTTCGCTCCACTCACAAGTCGTGGTAGTCAGCAATATCGCGCACTTACTGTTCCAGAGCTGACGCAGCAAATGTTTGATGCAAAGAACATGATGGCAGCTTGTGATCCTAGACACGGACGTTACCTAACTGTTGCTGCAATCTTTCGTGGCCGTATGTCAATGAAGGAGGTCGATGAACAAATGCTGAATGTGCAAAACAAAAATTCAAGCTACTTTGTTGAGTGGATACCAAACAATGTCAAGACCGCCGTTTGTGACATTCCACCTCGTGGTTTGAAAATGGCTGCAACTTTCATTGGCAACAGTACAGCTATACAGGAACTCTTCCGACGCATAAGTGAGCAGTTCACTGCTATGTTCCGCAGGAAAGCATTTTTGCATTGGTACACAGGTGAAGGTATGGATGAAATGGAGTTCACTGAAGCCGAGTCAAACATGAATGATTTAGTGAGCGAATATCAACAATACCAAGAAGCTACTGCCGAGGAGGAGGGAGAATTTGATGAAGAAGAAGAGGAAGCATAATCGTGACCATTACCTGCCTCCTCTCAAATTCGTCTTATGAGACCTTGTTTTTTGTGTACTGCACTCCGATTCATTTTGTCGCCAACATTAACCCCTTTAATGGTGTATTCCGTCTCGCAGTCTTTTAAGTAAATTGTACTTGACCCGCGATACTTTCCAGCCTTTTGTGCATGCTAGCACTCTACGTGTTACCTAACCCTCTGGGGCACTTAGCTTCTGCCATTATAAGTCATTTTCTGCTTGATTCAGGGAGAACACATTGATACCAACCATTGACACCGATGCTTGATAATAGTACCTCCACACAGTAAACCATAAATGAAGAGGACGTGATCTTATTTGTAGCCCTCTGTTCATTAAACTTGTACTCGTCAGTTCATGCATCACAACCTTCGCATAGATATTTCTACAGAGGCGCATTGGGAGCAAAAAAGGATTTCATTCCGCTACTACCACGCCAAAATAAAGCATGAAGATACTGAAAGTCATTCACGTTTATAAGATAATTGTATGATTATGCGGGTGGTCCGAATATACGGATGACACAGGGGGATTAGAGGCACACATGGTATGACGGAGGTTTACATCATCAGGAATGATGTCGAGTTGTGCATGACTTAAAGCGTTCAACAGCAAAAAAGCCAATTAAACCTAAACTGATACTTTGGAAAGTGAGAAAGATGCTATGCTTATGAAGGAGGAAATGAAAGTAGACAAAGCACTAAATTGAGTTTTTTGAAGTTGATACATTCGCCAGTTGAACTCGATTGCCAGTCAACTCATTGATGATGCGAGTCATATGCGAGTATTGTTGAATCTGAAACAAGAAAACTGGTTATGCAGTTTTCCTATCCGTACAATCAAAACCCTAACCTTAGTTGTGATATCGCCTCAACCATCCTGGATGCATAAATCGTGTCATGGTTGAGAAGAAGAGGATACCTCGTCATCCTTCTGCTGAATGATTTGCTTGGCCTCATCCAACTGCTTCCTAAAGTTGTCGATGGTCGCATCCATGGTTTTGTTCTGTTCACGCATGCTCGTTAGCCTGTTCTGTAGGCTCTCCTTGGCCGACTGCAAACCTCAAAAGGACAAGAACCACCAAGCATGAGGTGAAGGACATTTAAATCAGAACTATGCTAGAAAAAGACATACTCTCATATTCCTTTTGCTTAGAGGTCAACTCAGAGGAGAGACGACCATTCTCGATTTCAAGCCTACAAAAAGATCCGCCAAAGTTATCGCGCAATGTCGTACCTCACTAATTCGAGGTTTGGTACAAGCATGCCTGCGGAAAAAAAATTATTTTCACCGCAGTGCAAATCACAAACACGCACACGCAACAAAGACGGACAGATTAGGCGGAGGGTCATGGAAACGCAAACACAAGAGTCTGCACACAAAGGCTTTCGTTACGAGGCCCAACAAATGCAACGTTCAAGTGTGGGAAAACTTATGCAAATTTCTTCCACCTCATCGGGTTGATGCCCCGGACGAATGAACGCCTTTGCTAGTGTATAGAAAACTCCACAACAAACATCGACTATATTATGGATTTGGGCATCGACAGACAAATGAAAATAGGAAAAAAAGCCAATGACAAACCCAGTGAATCGTATTATTTTCGAATTTCGTACTCCTTTAACTGCATATATTTTGACTAGTTCAGTGAAACCAACAGCACTCTTATTCCAATTAATGTTGAAGACTTAAGTAAGCTAATGAATTGAGAAGTCTGGAGGACGGAATAACCACGTCCTAATTGTGTGAATAGTTTGGAAAACAATCAGATCAACACTAAACTGGTTAGCCGCCACGCCAATTTCCGTCAGCCCTTCTATCTCATAAGGTCCACATTATTGTAGCGCAATCTCACACCTGTCAACAAATGAGCTAGCACTATGCAGGTGATAAAGAGTTTTCGAATTACTGGCTGCTTATCAAGAAACAGTAAAGGGCAATTGGAAACTAAACTAGCTACTTGCATCAATTAGTAGTATTAATGCAAAACCACATGAAAATGGCTTGAACAAGGCTTAAAAACGCAGATCAAACAAAAAACAAGCGTACTGAGATATTCTTTCCCGTTGTTCCTCCAGAGAGGCTCGATGGGACTCGACGCTGGCAAGAGCGATGGTTTGGAGGCGCAATAACCGCTCAACCTCCGTTTCGGCGGTAACGGCGCGCGACCGAAAGTGTTCTGCCACAGTGTCTGACACACGCAGCGCCTCACGTTTCGCCGACACCTCTGCTTCTAACACCGCTTCACGCGACTGACCAAGAAAACATGAAAGCATAAAATGCGAATAGATCCGTGTTTTGAATCCCAGTCCGATAGATCGTTTTTTCACTGCGAGAAGTCTCCAAAGGTTAATTATTGCTTATGGCGTTCCAATCTCAAGTAGGTAGAAACAAAATAGGGACTGATAACCTATAAACAGAAAATTTCTCTGCTACATTCGCTTTTCTAAACAAAAGGGTTTCCAATAGTCTCGCGCAACATAAAAAGGGCATATCCTTCCCGCAAAACGGCTCTACGAAACTAATTTTAAAGTAAATGTAAAAGTAAGCCCGCCTACCAAAGTAGACCACAAGCAGTAATGCATTTAGCCAAAATTACCCGTAGAACCTCGATCCTTCGCTGACAAATTGCCATGGCCTCTGAGCCGGCAATGTTCGCCTATAAAAGAGAAAAAGAAACGGTGAAATCGCCAAGTCGACGAGCGATAATGGGGACATACAAATGACAGAGAGGTATTATCCAGCGCAGCACAAAGCTTGTCCAGTGTGGCTTCATTGTAGGGGCGAGAGCTGCCAGAAGGGCAGATAATTTCGGTCCGCTGAGTGGTACGAAATTGCGGCTGGGTAGCAGCTAGCCACCCAGATATGAAAGTCGCGTGACAGGAGGGTTCAGAGTCCTCTGCTTTCGTGGCGAGTAAGAGCCGTGACGTTACGTAGTCCTCAATCGACTTACACCCCGGCGGTATGAGACTATTTAGAGTGGATAGAAATCTAGTAAAAATAGAAAAGATAAGGATCACCAGACGTTAAATATCTACCGAAAGTTGAACACGTCCAACCTGGAAAAACAAGCATTCATAAGTAGAAGTGGACGAGAGTCTGCATGGAAAGCACTTATTAAAAGTGGCAGCTAAAATGGTAAAATTAATCAATTGGCAAACCCAAAAGTGCTCGAAAAAAGGGGAGAGAAATAGCGCATCTCAACACACAGTAGAAGTTGATGGTAGAACAGCGAGCCAGGACCACAAATTGTAAGTTAATTCGATGATTAAATTACCAGTAAAGTAGAATTTACATAATCATATCAAAACCTTGGACAGTCGCAAAACTACTAACTCCATTCAAGTACCGATGTGAAATTCCACCTGACCATTTTACCGCAGCAATAAAACAACTTTATTTTCTGACTGATATAACCGGCCCAGCATTGGTGGTTTTGAGGAAAACGGAAAAAGTTGCGTACATATCAATCAAACCAGTCGCTTATCTCAGGTACGTTGCGCCAAATAGAATAGTAATACTATGTAGATCTAACATAGACATTATACCTACAATCAGTACCAGATCAAAAACTAAGGATCTGCACTACTATTTCGTAGACGCCATTTCAAAGATGTGAGGTAAAAGTTTGTACAAAAAAAAAACATAAAAGAGATAATTTAAGATTTGGTACCAATTCTTTCCATATCTTAATCACCACAATAGCTCAGCCAGTTCAAAAACAATAGATGCTCTTATAGGAACGAGACGCATTCAAGGAACATACGAAGGAACTGAGAAATCCTGCAGACTGAGTGCGATTCTCATGAGACGAAGAACGACGCATCGGGATGAGAAGGCTCCCTCACACCTACAATCGTTGCTACCGACAGCAAAAACAATTGCCAGAATGGGTGCAAGGTATGGTGCTTCCAGAGCACGCTGCAAAGCATCGCCACAGCGCCGTAAGTGATCCATCACAGAGCCCCCTTCACCACAAATTCCCTCGTCTTCCCCTTCTTCAGTTAGACGCAGATCTGCCATCTGCGATGTGCACTCGATTCGCGTCTCATCGGGGTCCATGTTATCCTGCGACTTCTCCGAAGTCGAGACGGGTGAGGCAACAGAGAGGAAGTCGGTGCAAGTCAGGAGGAGATCCAACGCATCCACAGCAGCTAAAATTGTAGCTATCCTTCCGTAAAACGCAGGAAAGTCAATTATCGCTCACTTACATTTCGCGGTTATTTGCGATTTCAGCATCTCCACTGTTTGCCGAGTTTATAATGGACAGTAGAGTGTTGTTTTTGAGGTTTTGAAGAGCTAGAGAACGAGCGATATACCCTATATGAGCAACAAGACCAGCAGATATATCAACTGACGCGGAGTCGAACGAGCAGCAAACCTCTGAGGTTTTCCGAACTATCAGAGATGCGCAGTGCATGATTACGCGCTGCCTATAGATCGCCTCGACAGAGCCCGCATTCTCGAGACGAACTGTGAGAGCTTGGGTAACAAGAGTGAGAAGTCGAAACAGTGTTTTGTTGTAATCAGCATCAGAAGCGCTTTTTGAGTACTAAGGTGAAAGTCGAAAATAGACATGTAAACAAACCGATGACTCAATATCGGAAAGGAAGGCAGCCACAGAAGCAGAGAGAAGATGATCAACAGGTTGCATAAGGTGATTGCTAATGCCAGAAAAGATAGCACTATTTTCTGCAGAACTATCAAAATGAAAAACTAAGTTCCACAGATAGGCGCAAACTTCCGCACTGTTCTTGAGTAAGCACGTCAGAAAACCTAGTAACTAAAAACAGCTTATGAAGACTCGAACATAATCAGCACTTTGTGGACGAGTTTTGAGTTTCTCGATACAAGTTGGTTAGCAGCTTCAGCCACAATGCGTTTAAGTTCTGGATGCCTAAGACAGTAAAGAAAATTCAAAAACGGCTTACGAATAAATCAAGGCGGAGGAGGAATTGCCGCAGAAGTCGATCAGAGTATCACCGGCATATAAGCTTTCCAGCGAAGCATCACCATTTAGGAAAATGTTAAAAAGGACTTGAAGTGAAGCATGAACATTCTGACTGTTAAAAAACTATAAAAAGTAAGCGAGTCAATGTGATAAAGCGCACTTTATCCCTGATTCCCCATAGGTGAAAAATGACAGTCATGGAAAGGACAGATTCCATTTGCGTAGAAGACTCGTCATTCATTATGCGAAGAAGCAACTTCCGCAGCAAATCAAAATCACCCTTTTCAATAACAAATTCCAGAAACAATGTACCCGATTTTGAAGTGCCTTGTGAATCACAGAATGCTTTCGAGATATATTCGCAAGAATCCCCAAAGCAAATCCGATCTTTTCCTTGTTATATGGTGCCTTTATGATTGATAGCACCTGTCTGACGGCGTATACAAAAATATCCTCTCCACACTCCAGAGGCATATAATTAATTTCGAAAGTGCATTTGTAAAAGGCTTCCAACGCCTAAACAAGAAAATACTGATACTTAGAGTAGCAACCTCAACAGACATTTTCTCCTCAGACCAACTGTAGATTCCGTGAAGAATTGGCTTCAGTATTGCAAACTTTGAGAGTAGGGTATAACGGCTTCGAATATCGTCAGCTAAAGAACTCTGAAAATTTTGAGGAACTTGCCATAATTTGAAATAATCGTAAGCGCAACAGACCTCAGCTGCAAACCGCTTGGTGAGCACAGTGCGAACGAGAAAAATGTGCTTAAGCGCTCTAATGTACTTGGATCCAATGAATCGAATTGTTCTAGCTTATCCAATAGAGCCTAAGATTACTGATTGGGCAAAGGTGATTTACTTTCGTCGAACAATAAAATGCATCGATGGACTCGTCTTGCCGGTATTTGTCAAAAGCATCTAAAAGAAGATTTACCGTCATGTCGTAGTCCTTCCTTGAACAGCTGTAAAATCGCGACACCACACCAAACCTGGATTCAAAGATGCGACGTCAAAATTGCCTCTCCCAAGGAGAAGTGTTGTTTCCAAATGACTTAACAATGAGCCCCAAATATTATGTATCTTGACTTAACAGCAGTAGTATTTGCGCTACGTGTTCTTTAACGCGATTATTAAGTTGCATTCTGTGTTTCCTGACCTAATATACATGCGGTGAAGTAGCGTGGCAAATAATGATATCTCGCATCGACAAGATCATAAGCTTTTATGCCATACAAGCAAATATAACTTGTTAAACAGCAAAAAGTTAATTTATCCTTAAATTGTGTGTTTAGTTCCCCAATATAATAACTTCGAGTTCATCGAAATGAGTCTGAGCTTATTCATGTATGGTAGGGCCCTTAGTACTCTCATATCGAAGAAAGTATTAAGCTGGACTAAACAGTTTAGCGTCTCGAGGCTTCCCATAGTGTAGTAGAAGGCATAAGTTGGGATGAATACATGTATTCGGAAGACTACAGGGTAAGTGGGGCCTAGGCATTGGCCCAAAGGCCAGGCCACGTGTACAGGGGCCAGTCAAATTCAGAGTGGACCACCAAACGTTAGGTAGTTACCTAAACAAAGCATTAAGTCAGTTTTGGTTCGGAGCCAACACCACTACAACTGTCCTCGCCAAAGATCAATCACCGCATCAACAAAGTATTACAGATATTGGTGCAAAATTAAAGTATATATACATATTGTGACATCTTCATTCCAATTCTCGTGCTCGATTGTTTGTGCAGCGTTCCGAGACTTCCCACTGGTAGATAAAGCAGTAAGCTGAGCTATAAATACGTATTCCAAGAAGAAATCAGCAAATAGGCCTAAGCACGGCCTGAAGATTAGCACCCTTATACAAGGACCAGACAAATCTTAGAGTGACAACCAGGCATCAGGTGGTAACATAAGGTATTGCAGCTTGGGGCTTCATAAGAAGAGGCTTTCTCTGTGAAGTTCTATTTTGCCTTTAATGCAGTGTGCATAAAGGATTATTCAACACATTAAATAAGCTTAAAATTTTTATGCCTGATTTTTGCTAAATGGGACACCAGCTTTAATTTACTGCTCGCTTGTTTTAATCTTCAGTAGGCCTTCTCTCACCTACGTTTACCTTTTGAGCGTCTGCCGTACTAGTACGTAATTACAGGAATCTCGATTATGTATTTTTTACTTACGCTGATGTTTCCTTATTGCCCATGCGGGAACAAAGTCTGATCTACTAATTGCTTTTTCTTGAAGCTCGTGTCAACCATTCTTATGCACATTAGCTTATCTCGTTGTATAGTTGTTGCTTTTGTGTTTGCATTGTTGCATAGTCGTATTCTATGCCCAAACACTAGTTAAGTATTGTCTATCTCATGTTATATTTAAGCTCTTTTTGCGTTGAAGTCTTTCATTTTATCAGTTTTATTCTCACACACCCACCGTCGTAGGGTGGTTACAGCTTACTTAATGTATGTTTTCGACAGCGTCGATTTCAGATATGTCAGATGATTTTGACCCATGCGAATGTATTTACAACTACGAATTGTCGATGCAGCGGCTCCTATCCATGCTGCGGCAGTCGCAAGCTTACTGCAATGACGTCTATTGTCAGAGCAATCCACCAAATTCTGATCTGAATCTGAACGACAATTCGGTTTCTGCCTCTTTCCTCGTGTTCTTTGCGTGGATTCTTGCTGTTGCCGGCATCTTAGCTTTTCGTGGCTTGCGTCGGGGCAACAGCAATGGGTTTAACAAGCCTGGTCCCGCTAGAGTAAGTCATCCTCGTTCACAAATTTCGAGAACACCTGGTGCTGGCCAACGTAGAACTTTCTTTTGCGGGCCTTATTCAGCCTGACTTATCATGCAGCGAACTTCCCCACCGTTTCGTGCACCGGAACTCACCCAAGATTAGCACAATTACTAACTCCAAGTCGTGTACCGATACCCTCAATATTCGCCTATTTCCTAAATGCTTCTCCAATGGTTCTTATTTTATTTTTAGAATAACGACCCGGAGCCACCAACTATCAACTAACACGCTGCTGTGAAACTCATAACCTCATCTTTTATAAATCATTTCACTCTTTTAACCAAGATCCAAATGCTGATTGCTTACTGTTCCCTTAACTATTTGCCTCACATCTCAACAAAATTGCATAATTCAGAAAAAATGCGGCTCAAGCGTGTTATGGTGTACGAGATCTATAAACAATTTTTGTATATGAATATGTTGAACGAGGTCTACGTTCCGACGGTAGAGTGTCCCTTAGCGCCGCCACGATGACGAGCGAAGAACTCTTTCCTCCGCTTTTTATTTCTCGCCTCTGCCACTTTCGCCTCTTTGGCACGCTTCGCCTTGTAGCTCGAGATGCGGGCGACCATTTTGTTCTTCTCCCGCTCCTGGTAGGCAGCATGCAAGCATCGCAATCGCTGGATGAGCTGTGCTCGATCGCGAGCGTGTCCAACGGGGTCAGGAGCGTTCTCCGACTCAGCCATCGCTTCTATTGGTGCGGGTACACCGAATTTCCTAGCGTGCCTTACTTCATCATCCCAGAAGCGTCGCGTTCGCAGCTGTTTCTTGCTCAGCTTCGGTTTATCAGCGAAGGGTAGCGCAGCTATTAGTTTGGTAGGGACAGTTAGTGGTGGGGGCACGAAGGGTGCGCGTTGTATTTCCTTGTATTTAGAGTCTTCCTTAATCTCCACCTTAGTGCCCGTATCCCACCGTAACTCGCCCATGGTACGAAGCATCCTCCACTGCGTTCCGGGGGCTGTGGTGGTGGTGGTGGAAGCTGCGGTTCGAGAAGACGGCAAGAGGAGGTTGGGAATTGGATTGTAAAAAGCGATCAATTCAACTGGCACAAAGGTTCGCACAAACACTATGTCTGCCATTCGAATTGGTGCTTCAAATGTGGCCCGGAAGTCACCCGGTTTGTGACCCGTACCCGTGATAGCGTTCTTTATTAGACCTGCGACAAAGTTTCAGTGTTTGTTATTCACGTTAATACTGGCCATTGTCTTTGAGAAAAGGGGATGAACTACCTCTGATTTTGGAGACAGTCTGAATCTTGGATCCGACCATTTTGGCCACCTCAAGCTCTGAGTTGAACATACCGCCAATGAAGGCTGTTTTAGAGAAGATTTTGTACGGGTGGCCAACCAACTTAAGCTTTTTCATTACTTGAAATGATTCATTGCAGTCAGTCACACTACCTGTCCCAGCGATTCTAAATTTTGATGAGGCGAAAGCTTCCGTCTAGAGGAAAAAGACATTGCAGAATAAAGTTACCTACATCAAATGATTTGGTGCACAGATGAACAAAACAAAACAGTATATCGGTACTGACTGCGCCGCAGGAGTCTGACAGAGCTACTTTCGAATTGGGTGCAATGGAGGCTATTTCACTGAGGGGCTTGAAATTTACTGCTTATCGGAGACTGAGGAGTGGCATTAGAAAAGAAGATGGAGAGGATCCCGATTTACCTGCTCTCGCCAGGTGGAGTTAGCAACAGCGACGATTCCAGTTTTCGCAGGAACCACAGGTCCGTAGAAGGTGATATGGCAGTGTTCATGTGCCAGGGCGTATTTGAGGTAGCGCTTTCGGAAGTTGTGCTCCTCCCTGCAATGCGAAAGGAGTACTTGTTTGCACACCAAGCTTTTTCCGACAAGCAGGAAGGCAGGGTTTTCATATACTCGTGGTGGCGAAGCTTGTTTATCAAAAAGTAGGTCTGCTGCAACGACAACCAATAGGATGCGAGACGGTGTAAAAACAATCTCTCACCCTATTAGGCACGCATGCAGCAGGCAGGTAAGGACTTGCTTTGTGTGAACACAAAGCACCTGGCAAATTTGCCTCTCCGCCGCACACGCAGGAGATGGTTGGTTCGATCACCTGCACCTAAATCCATTCGCTACTGCAGGCAACCGCCTCACTATGCGATGCAATATGGTACTCTAACAGTTGAGCACGTCTTGATACATCGAACTTTTGTTAAACTTATCGATAAATCTGTACCGACGAAATTGTAAGCTGGCCCAGTACCTATGGCTAAAACGAAGGTGATTGGAGTACCAAAAGCCACACCATTTAAGGTGAACAAGTTTATGGAAATGAAGGAGGAAACTGACTTGGAGAAAACGCCGATTGTTTGGTAGCGTCGCCAACCAACGGATACGACTATGGGGTCGTTGGATTTGAGCACGCCTCTCTTCCACCGATGCGCTTGAAAGCGAGCCTGAATGAAGGCCTTCGCCTCCTCTCCCTTCACCAGACACCCAACCACCAGCGGCTGACGCGGATCAAAGTTCGCCATGAATTGGTAGGGCACTCCTGTAGTGAGAGACAAGTTGACCTTCGCGTGATGTGCCCATGACAATGAAGGAAACATTTATGAAAAAGAAGTTGGGTACAACGGAATTAGGTGCTTGACGAGATCGAAAGACTAAATCACTGCTGATGAATGTCTCTATCAAAAGCAATATGTGAGTCCAGAGAACCGCAATCAATGCGTAAGGTCTTCAAGAGTTTGAATTTACAGTTTAGAGCTAGGCAAGACAGTTAGGAGGCAGTGCTGAGGTGAGCGGATAACTTCCAATCCAGGTCAATCAAAATAATCCTGCAAAAACCACGAAAGGCTCACACAGGGCTTTGAAGAAAAATAACAACTAAGGTTTAGCACTTTTAACTCTTCAGTGAACTAGTTATTTTAGGGTCGACTGTATGCATGGATAGCCTCAATCACTGCCGCAACTTGATTCATTCTAAATAAATACAACAAAATGATCTAAAATAACAAAAGACAGTCAAAAACACCGACCGACGATTTGAAGACGCACATACGATCCAGGAGGTACACCTTCGACGGTTTCGCGAACACCAGGAGCCAGCTTGCCAAGGATCTCGCGATTCAACTGCTGTTGAGTCTCCGTCTTAGAGACCATCTTGTTGTAGAAGGCCGTAGCTGGCTCGTTCGCGTTATCACCAGAGCCGCGTTGAGCGGCCTCATAGAGGCGATCAAAGAGCTCCTTGTGACGTCGACGTTTCTCCAAAATACGCTCACGCTTAGTTGGGCGTAGTAGCCTCTGCAAATAAGCCAGCAGCACTGACAAATCGGATTTCAACAACCCAAGCTAAAGACACGGCATAGATAAATTCTAGGCGGCAAATTGATTAAGGGATCTGTGATTTTGGTAAAATATCAGTCAACTGTAGAAAAAAAAGCTAAGCTGACATCAATGTGTTTGACCACTTAATGAAGGCCAATACTGAGGGAACGGCGAATACACATGCAGAAAATACGATTTGGTGCAAAAGAAACATAAAAGCCGAAAGAGTTATAATGAAGACCTTTAGTTTATGCTAAATAATCACAAAGAGGCCAAACAACGTACTGCAGTTAGGGTAAGAATAGTCTAATAAAACACAGTTAAATGAGAGTACAATGATGTGGGTTGATGCTATCTACGATAATGGAGAAAGACTCAAAGCAAACTGAAACATTAATAAGCAACCTTCTCAAATCCCTTTGTAGCATCATCATCTTCGACTTCTTCCTCGTTATCTCTACTGGAAGCCTCTCCCTCCGATTCATCTGCCGTACCATTGTCTTCAGACTCTTCTCCCAGTACCTCATCTTCCTCCACATCTGAATCGTTGACAATACCCTTAACCGGATTCCTTTCAGGTTTGTACTGCACTCTGCTACCCGCCGCTTTGGTCATCTTTTGGGTTTTCAGTGCTTCCATTACCCGCTGGGCTTTAGCGTCCGCGGCTAGCAATTGCTCGGCATCCTCCGAAGCGTCCCATGCACCCGTAGTAAAACGATTTGCAATAAGGGCTGCCGAAGTGTTCCAGTCAATAGAAACGGTGGGTCGCTGAGGCAAAGTGACATCATCAGCATCGATCCCGTGGATATTGTTGTCCGTCGTAGTAGATAAAACGAACATCTCACCTGTGAGAGTGGATTTTCCTTCCGCTTTGGGAGTATCATTATCTGCGACAGAAAAGTGGGAATTAGAGGGATTTTCGCAACTCATAAATACTAGAATGCCTGATAAATGCCTTTTAATGCTGTTAAACTGAAGAGAAATGCAACTCGGTGGCGCCAGTCAGGAGTAACGTTTCCACTGTGCAAGTGTCGTCGTGAAAGGAAACGACTTGTGGCCGTCTTGCAAATTGTCCATTACGCCGTCATTTAGTGGTAAATACAAATCTCGTGTGTTTTAGAAAGTGAGCGAGACAATATTTAGCAAAACTCACTAATTGAAAAAAATGAGATATGTAGGGTGAAATTATGCAGGAAATTGAAGAAAACGACAAAATTTAGCATCAACATTTTGTACGATGGCAGCACAAACACAAAAATTCGACAATTGAAAAACCTTCTTAGAACATACTGAACAGCAAGCGACAGTCCCAGCGGATAAAAGGACATCGTAGTTTAAGACAATGAAATCATAAACTGTCTGGATAAGAAATTACTACTAGGCTATTGGGCTGCAAATGAACAACTCGACCACTGGCCTTCCGGTGGTAAAATAAATGGATATCATTGCATAACGTACCATCACCATAAATTATGCGATTCCAGTTCTTGCGACCCGGTGTTGTTTCCTCCCAACCCAAATCTAAAAACATTAAATTAAACACTAACTGCGAAATCAGTACGACTACCGACCCCTTTACACAGTAAGCATGAATAGAGACAACAACTAGCTATGCAAAATGAATAGATGGTGAAAAGCTAGGAGATGAGTAGGAGGAACAGAACCACATACTGTCAAAAGCGCTCTTCAGGTCCCGATGCTGATGGTTAAAATTTGAGTCCGTTTTGATTTTCGACAAATCCTTCCCCCCATCGTCATCACCATCCACCTCCATTGCCTCATTTTCAGCGTCTGGCAGAGCTGTGTCCTCAAACATGCGTAATCCAACACCGCCACCGCATTCATCGACTTCAACGTTATTGTCCCCTTCGGGACTATCGTCATTTTCTTCATCGGAGCCAGAGTCTATATCACGGTTATTTGCGGATGGCTCCAGAAAGGGCGCATCAATAAGCACTTGGATGCGGTGATCATGCTCCAATCGCTCGTCCAGACCGTGACCGACGGTCGAAAAGATTTCGCGAGCTTTGGCCAAATCCGCTTCGCCCGCCCCTACCACAACTTGACGACCGGACGACAATCTACCACCACCTAAGTGATGGCTTCCGCCCAGATCAATATATGTCGCATCCCGATCTAAGAGAACACCGCCGATGCTCGACATTGGTGCATAAAGCTACATTAAGATTTAGTAAAAAGAGAAAATTGCAGTGGGGTAATACAATTTCCGTTCATGAACTCATAGCCGTCTTAATAACTTCAGAGACGGCTGACTGATAGATACAACTCTGAGACAGTCCAGCAAAAAACAAAGCTGGTAATCAAACTACTGATGGAATTAGAGCGCTACTAAGAAATGAAATTCATTCGGGATTTTGTCCGTAAAGTTACAATTGTTTACAACCACCATGATCGCTTAGACTTAAATCTTTAATAAGTCAGCAATAATGGACATTTCTAACCTTCCGTTCGCCTTCAGAAAGGCGCCTCTTCAGTTTGGCTTCAACGGCACCATCATGGGACGCATTAAAATGTATGAGTTGAGCCGGTGTGGGGCAAGGATCCTGTTGTCGAGTGCATTCCGAAACCATAAAATCACCAAGACCAGGAATGTGAACAAGGGGTTTGCTTAAAGATGCTTTAATTGGAGCACCTCGGACCCAACCGTAAAGGCTAATAGTACGGTTAACCTTTTCATCTTCTGTGAGAATTCTGGGGTTTGTCACGTCTTCCAAACGGTCCACCAGCATATACGGGTGACCAGCCCGCCAGTCGGATGGTCTGGGCGATTTGACAACCATGAGCCGAGCCAAACGCTGAATTTCAGCGGGTAAATACTCACCATCGATAAGTGTATCAGATGCCCGATCCTGTTTCTGATGGTGAACTAAAAGCAAAACATGCTCGACCAAAAAAAGGTCTTACATCTTTTCCGCACAAAACGTGATAAGAGGAAAATCTTTGCAGACAAATCGGTCCACAACCGTTGCTTGATTTTTTTCCTAAGCGCTCTTGAAGAAGATGACTCCTTGAACTGGTCCAAATGATTAAGTACTGGAATGACTCGAGGCATCCCGTGGACTTGCAACATGTTTATGAATTCAAAGTGATACATCTCCAAACCCTGTGACACATTTACAACAAGTAAGACCAGATCCGCGATCTTTGCAACATCAATCATACTATTGATGTTACAATCACACTCAAGCAAAGTTAGGCGGAACTTTTTGCCAACGACAACAGTTATTGGACCTGTAATATTCCGGACCAACTGACGACCAAAATGCTTGATCAGACCACGTAATAAGGTAGATTTCCCACATTTCGGTGGACCAACAATACCAACAACAAGAGGGGGCGAAAAATCAGTATGACAATCAGCATTTACACCTGGAAGATGATACTTCTTTGTCTCCATATCTAGGGTTTTTCTGACCTTCCGTGCAGCTTTAGTGGTGTGCTGAACGGCAAACCCCTTGTAATTTTGTGCCTTTGTCGCGTTCCCATGTTTGACCTTTTTCAATGCTTTCGCACCACTTTGAGGCGCCCTGTGCTTCTTCTCGCTTGATTCTTTCATTCAGTGATTTAGTAAAAACCTATTCCGCACGAATGCCAGTAGCACGAGACTTCATGTAATTTGCTGCTGAAGTGAGACTATACAAACAAACGAATCCCAAGTTAATTGCCGGTTAAATGCAAATAATAAACTGTATGTAGAAGTAATTTTTTATATTTAAAATAAATTTGGACTCGATGGATTTAAAAAAAATTTTTATTCCGATAAAGTCTATACGTGCCCAATCATATAATGAAGAAATTTGCCTTTCGTTATCGCGAATTTATAGATTTGTACAGACATACTAAACAGGTTGAGTCCCCTTTCCATACGCGTTCTTTCTGAGCCAATATTTCTTTCCTATTTTCTTGCTCTTTGATTTTTTGGGATGTCCTCTTTGAGGCTTTCACGGTACTCTTTGCGTACACTTGCTTTGAATAAAGTTGTATACTTTTCTCACCCCTAATTCATCCTTTTGATTACCTGTTTTTTTTATAGAAATTTGCTGCAATTAATGGGAAATGCCACAGCTCAGTTGGCAATTGACCTTGACTTTGGATGTTGCCGAGATACGGTCGACGCCTTCTCGCTAACATAATTTCTTCTCACTGAATGGAGCTTTTGGCCCTCAACAATGGTTGATTTGGTACGTTCCTCTTTTTATCTTACACTCTTAAGCACGATAAAAATTTACTTAAAGGGGTAGTTAAGCCTGCGATAGACGAATCATCTTTCAATCAATTATGTGAGGAGTATAATGCGGTATGTACAAACTCTTAATGTATTAGCTTGGAAAGCTATTAGGCGATTTGAAAGGGAACAAATTGCTCGGAAAATTCTGTGAGGAATATGAAAAAATTATGGCAGCTCTACAAAAGTCTTACGACAATGAGCAAAAGTTGATGAGGAAGTGTCGGGAGCTGAGAGCAGACATTTTATCAAATTCTGTGCGTTTGGATCACGTGAAAAAGATATCAAGTGAAAGTCCTGCCAATATCCTTGCGCTTAAAAAGGAGTTAGAAAACGCTTGGACACTTGTTGAGGTCGCCACTGGTAAGGAAAATAAGGCTCGAGAACGGATCAAACGTCTGAAAGACGAAATAGCAACCCTTAGTAACGTCATTGAAAAAGGCGGCTCTGGAGAAGTTGGCGCTGATGGGTATGTAGCTCTCTTCCGTCTGTGATGGAGGATCCTATTTTTTGCGAATTTCCAAATTTGCACACGTATGACCAACCAACTGCCATTTTCTGATGGCTGGATTTTTAACGTGCGTATTTCTCATGGGGTATCGTGATGAATCTCTTTGTCCTTAGAATAGCTGAACTTTCAAAAAATTTGGAAAAATTAACCAAGGAAAAATCTGAGCAAGCCGCTGAAAATGCAAAATTACGCGAGGAAATCGATTCAACAAAGGAGCAAATCAACGGTCTGCAGGAAGAGATCTTCAGTGCTCAACAAAAAATCGCAGAGCTGGGTCGGGACATTCAAGTAGGAATCGCTGCTCAACCCACTAGATAGGTTGTTTTACGGCAACAAGGGTTTTTTTAGGAATTAGTTTTCTTTCGATTTGTTAGTCTCGGTCATTTATATCATTTATATCAATATCAATATTATCAATATCAATATTTATATCAAAATTCGGGGCTTTTCATGTGGCTTGTCAAACGACTTATAGGGTTATGAAGTTTGAATTTAATGTAGGTTCACCAATCATTCCATGTTAATTTAGCTTGTCTGATTCAGCAATAATCGAATCGTTAGGAGAAAGCCAGTGAAGCTCAGAGGGAGCTACGAAAGAAAGAGAAGATGGAGCGAGAAATGAATGATGTGCGCGAAGGGGTTGAGTTGAAGCACGCACAAATTCGATCCATCACCGAGGTTATCGAAAAACTGCAGGAGGAGCTCAAGGTCAGGCAGGAAGAAAACCGAACTCTGCGTATCTCCTTTGAACAAGTGAATCGAAAACTCCAACTGGCTGAAGCAAAACTCGCCGATGCGCAGTCAAAATTAGAGGCACAGGTGGCTCTCACCGAGGGCATTCGAGCAGAAAATGCAGGTCGAGTTGTAGAAGTTAAGGTATGCTAATACTGAATTGAATGAATTCTTTCGAGTAACTTTATGGAGAATGATTTTGTTTAGCAAAAGGAGGAGGAAGTTGAAGCTGTTAGAGCGGAGAACGCCAAATTGATTCGACAGAATGAGGCAACTAGTCGACGAATTCGCAGCATAGAGGAGAAGAAGTTGGAATTGGAGCGGACACGAGATCGGCTGCGTGAGAATATTGCTGCAATTGACCGCGATCTGCAGGCTACACGAAAAGCCATGGATAATGATCGAAAGACTTGTGAAGAACTGACTAGAGAAAAGGATGCTTTGTCTAAGTCGTTGGTTAAAGTTCGCGGACAAGCTGCAAAACAGACGAATCTTTTGCGGTTACACGAACAGTCAAAACAAAATCTTGAGCGCGAAATCTCCACTTACAATCAGGAAGCGATAACTCAGCGTAAAATTATCAATGTGTTGGAGAATGAACGGGATCACTACCTTCGAGAGGCTTCAGACTATACACAGAAGGTGCTCGATCTGATGGAAGAGGTGAAGTTTCGTGAGATGCAAATTTTTGACTTTAGGAAGAAAATTGCTGAAGCACGAACCAAGCTAAAACAACAGGAAAATCTTTACGAGGCGGTAAAGAGTGATAGAAATCTCTACTCAAAAAATCTCATTGAAGCTCAGGACGAGATAAGTGAAATGAAACGCAAACTCCATCTCATGACGCATCGCATATCGCAGTTGAAAGAGGAAATCGCAAACAAGGATGCAATGATGGTACAAGAGACGGCGGAGTGCTTGAGGATGACTCAAGAACGAGATAATATGCAAAAGGAGTTGCAAAGAATGAAGAATTTGGCGATCGAGAACCGATCCACAATGGAGAGTCAGGAGGCAGAAGAACGAAAACTCCTCAAAGTAATTGCAGAAGCAGAGTTTGAACGAACAAAACATCGCAAGGAGTTGGATCAAGTGATCAGTGAGAAAGATATTTTAGGAGTTCAACTAGTTCGACGCAATGATGATTTAGCAAATCTCTACGAGAAAATTCGTATTCAAAAGTCCGTGTTGGACAAGGGGGAAGCACAGTTCAACAAAGTGTTGGAGGATCTGCGAATAGTCCGTGAAGAAATCTGCGCCACCCGTAGGGAAAAGGCCATGCTACAGGCGAGTGCAACAAAGATGGACGAGCTGAAACGCGAGGTGATTAGAGCCAGGAAGGAGTTGAGTCGAGAGCAAGTTCGATGCAAGGCTTTGGAAGATGAGCTCAAAAAACCCATCAACGTGCATCGATGGCGAAAGTTGGAGGTAAGAAAGGCCTTTGGAGCTATTGCATCGCAACGATGCTTCCAAGTTTCTTCTTGGAATTTAACTGCAACTCTCGATATTCTATGGTTAAAACGAGTTTGTACTTTGCTTTGACAAGTCTACTGGTCAACACACCAATTTTATGAGGTGGAAATTGCTCTCTCACCAAGAGCTTTGGTTGTTTGAAAGCCTCGCCTTCCACTCTCACATTGTGCATTTATCCATTGTCTACAGATATACTACCTAGAGGATTGGCGAAATTATGAATTCCTTCCAGAGGTATACTTTCACATTTGTTTGTGGTTTCCTCTTACAATTCCTTCATCGTTTTGTTTGATTGTTGAAACATGAATTTATGTTATCAAGTTGGGTGGTTCTGTAGAATCTCATCTGCTATGCATCAGTCAAGATTGAATTGCCTTCAACAGATCTCAACAGAAATGCCCATTGGGATGTGAAATAATGCAAAGGAGCTTTAAGAGGCTGGACTTTCAATGCTATGCAATTGAATAGTCTAGTTAGTCTTCATTCTTTTTTACCCAAATGTGTCCAATCTCTGCTTAATCCTGAGCCTCATCACCCAACCAAAGTGATCATCCGTGTTGGCTGCATTCGCCTTTGGCCAAAGGTTGATCGTATGATGTGTCCACTAATGGCCTTGAGCATTGAGTTTTGCATCTGAACGACACAATTGAAAACTCAAGTCTCGAACATATGTTTGAAGTTTTGCGAATTATGCCTCTTTGTTATAAGTTTGGATTTTTATTTCAACAGGGCAGCGATCCCTCCTCCTTTGAGATGATCAAAAAGATTCACTCATTACAAAAGCGTCTGATAGGAAAGACAGAGGAGGTACTGGAGAAGGAGATTCAAATTCAAAAGAAAGAATGCCTCTACGTGGAATTGAAACAGGTTCTCGCTCGTCAACCCGGTCCAGAGATAGCTGAACAACTTGTCATTTACGAGAAAAGTTTACGGGAGAAAATGGCAGCTATGAAGGTAACCACCTGGCTTTACTGATAGGAGGACGGCAGGACTATCCAAGTCCATGCCATGGGCTTTGTTTCAAGCACAACGACATTAACTATGTCCGTAGCATCGATAGAGATGAAGTTGCTCAGGTTTTTTTGCGAGGACGTACTGATTACCTCAAGACTACTCACGCAGCCCGATCACTAAGTTGGTAGCTCAATCCAAACGCAGTGTGTGGCTACTCCTTATTTGATGCTTCTTCCTTTGCAGGTAATAACAGCACAAATGGAGAAGCACGATGCCAGCATAAAGGACTATACTCTTCAAATTGAGAAGCTTGACAATGAATTGTTGGATGCTAAGAAGGCGTACTTTGAGAAGCGGCGTTTTAAGGAGGCAAGCAAAGCATGGACTAAAGTTGAGGCTCCAGAGGTGATTGTTGAGAAGGCATCAGAGGTGAGCACTCAGTCCGAGTCAGAGGAGGAGGAACAGGAGGAAAAATTGCATGATAGACATCATGATGGAGAAGAAGATGATCTGCAAGAGGATGATTCAGACGATCAGAGGCCGGATCAAGGTAGCCTAGACGAGGAGGAGAATGAAAATCTGGACGAAGAGCAGACTGATTTGGATGAAGAGGACTTTAATGAGGAACATTCATAGTAGAAAATGTAATGCATGGTTGAACTATCCCAATGCGCACAAAATGAAGGATACCAATGAGGAATTAAGCAAACAATGGGACAAATATATTCTTACTATTACGATGACTAGTTGATAAGGTTTGTAAAAAGGGGAATAAGAAGAGACATAAATGTGAATAAGGTGAATAATCTCCCATAAAAGTGACCGGTAGATCATGCTTCCTTCTTCCCTCCTCATAATGTCCGGCACCGAAGGCACTTTTCGACTATCAGCATACCATCATTGGGAGAATGGCATGGAAAGCTATCTCGTCTGGAGGATGTTCATTTTTGCAATCTGGCTAGATGCTAAGCGATGTGGATCGTGTGACCAGCACTAACCTCCTCAACTAAGTGTTGCTCTTAGAGTATGCAAGTGTTCCTTTCTTTCGCCTCCGTTGCGGAGCCTCAGTCATGCCGTCACCAGTTGCTGCCATTAGTAGACGATTTAATCGAAACCTCGCAATCGCATAAATGTTCATCGTGTCGTTCATAGGAATTTTCTCGCAAAATATCAACTTACTTTGGCATACAAGGTCGACTGAAAAGGAAAGTTGGCATCTACCACTCTCCGACACTCTGAAGCCACTCCAGAATTTCAGTCATTATAAGATGAAAGAGGGATCTTGTGCCACGGTTAAGCTGCAACGCATTTCTCTTTGCCTCTAGATGCCTCTGAAAGACGAGGAGAGGCATAGCACTAGGGCGGGAGGGAGTGAGGCGAAGGGTCCGACGCAAGTGCACACCCACTCTGTGGGGTGCCATTGTCGTTCCCTTGTTGATGTGACACCATTGAATGTGCTGCTCACATCACTTTCCCTGGTTTACAAGGCAGTTAGGGATTTTTTAACACTACTTCGTTAACAACTCGGACTAGGTAGGCTGATTATATGAACAAGTGGGAATGTATTCACGTCTCTACTAAAAGAGTGAACAGTAAGCCACTACGAAGGAAGAATGGCTGGGGGTGTTTCGCAGTCAACAACTGGTCTACGAGACGCCCTTCTTGTAAAGCGTCATGCATTCCTGTGTGCTGATGATGGTAGAATCCAATTTTGGAATATTGCCGCCTCGTAAGTGGTTTCAGAACCGCCATTTTTGTTGTGGTTAAAACAGACGGATAAGCATGAAGAGCGATGCCAATGCAACATGTTAAAATTTCCTGCAGTATAGCATTGTGATTAGGGTTGTAACACCTCAGCCTTCTGTAAATCATTTTTATGTTCTCCTTTCCGTATTCAAGTTATTACGATTTCAGCGAGGACCCGAAACGCGAGAGTACTTTACTCCTTGCAGTCCCGTTAGACCCATACAAAACCGACGAAGACCGTACTACTCTACCACATGCTCAGAATTTTTAGTGGTTTTGTTAAGCGTGGCATTTACAACGCCCCTACCGTGGTAAAACCCGATAATTTGATCAGAAAAATCCTGCAACACCCACTCCGTACAAGTCTGCATTGGACCACCATTTGACTCCATAATGCAGCGACCTGTCTTCGGTCATGGATCCTGCTGCTTAAAGCCCACTTATACGCACCTCCGAAGCGCACCCACCAAACATTCACACCCGCAGACTGCATCTACTGATCATAGCTAACCCTATCATTAGTTTTCTCCACCTTCCTCACATCAGTCTCCACAAGCGAGCTGCTGCCATACATCACAAATGAGCGAGGCAGAACGATAAACCAATCTCAAGTGCCGATGTGGCAAAAAAAAGCATACCCACAGACAGCACCTCAACAACCAAAACGCAAGCGTCACTCATTAACCAAAGTAACTTCCGGATTGATATTCTGTCTGAGATTTTTCCTTGTGTATGTTCATTAAATATGACACGCTACACTCGGGACGCAAGACTCTTGATCGAGGTCAAACCTAGAGACGCACGCTCAACCGCTTGGTACAGGCCACTTGGATCGCGTTCAGCTACACAAGCGCGAAGTCAACTCAAACTCGATAAATCAGCAAACCCCTTGTAGTTTTAAACACATCTCAAAAGTATTTCAAAATGAGCCATCAAGTATGAAACCACGTTTCCACCCAGTCACCTACAACTAACCCTAACAAGTAATGAAGACGTCTACCAAGACCAAAAATACTCCCGATCACTAGGAAACCAACAAACAAACAGCAACCATCACTTAAAAGCAAAAACTCGTGTGTAAAATGACCAGGTTAAACCATACCCTATTGAATAAAACGCTACTGCATTCAAACCAAAACGCTAAACATAGATTACCTACCGAAAGCCACGCCAATAAGGATAAGTGATAGTGGTGTCTAAGATAGTGAATGAAATTGATAACATCAAGCAAATAAGCACCCATATGTGGGAAAACCAATATACTGTCGTGGCCAAATATAAAACAACACTGCCATACCACTGAAAACCTTTTCAGACTAGGTACAAAGCAATCTTTGTTACAAATCAGTGGATAGATCCTGCATTAGAGGCGATCTTCGGCCACATATCCGCACACTCCTTTGCCACGGGACCAGTGATGGCGGAACCTGGCAGGAAGCAAAAACATCAAAGATTAAGTCGCATTGATACATCTGAACATATTAATAATGTCGTGAACTAGACAACTGACTTGTCTTGGTCACCTTTATCTTGCAAGCTGTCTGGGCGCCAAGCAAAACGACGACGCAATTAGGCTTGCCGATTTACCACTGATCTGCCCAAATATGCGTTTATTACTTACCCTTCATTTCGCCATTTGACTTCACTATTACACCCGCGTTGTCTTCAAAATATATAAACGTCCCGTCTTTCCGACGAAAGGCTTTCCGTTGGCGTATTACGACAGCTTGCCACACCTTCTTACGGAGCTCCGGTTTGCCCTTTTTCACCGAGCACACCACGCAGTCGCCAGTGGCTGCCGATGGCAGACGATTGAGGCGACCTCTCACACCGAAGACGGCAATCACATACAGATTCTTGGCTCCAGTGTTGTCGGCACAGTTCATCACCGCGCCGGTAGGAAGACCAAGGGTAATCCGAAACTTCCCTCCAGAAGAACCACCGCGCCCTTTTTATTAAAATACAACCGTTATATGGCATCGAAGAAGTCTGAGCAAATAACCCAACAACCACAAACTCCCCCACGCACATACCACGCTTCGACATCCTTACAAGCTGTTTAAGTGTGCCGCCTCACTCGCAGAAGCTCACGCTAACAACAAGATCACATGTGATAATTTCGCATTTTGTTATTCTATTGTTTTAATTTTTTACGAATAACCAGTATTGCCTATTGATTTGTAAAGCCGCCACAAGCACGTCAAATTTTGTAATTTTTTAGTTCCTAACTTAGTTTATATTACTTACTCTACTCGCCATGTACGCCTTACTTCAAGTAATAAACCAATAAGTGAGAGTTGGTAGCACTTTGTGGCTTTCTGTTGAGAGAGACAAGCTCTTTGTCCATTTAAGAATGCGTACTTAACTGTCCAAAGACCTCCGATTTGGCAGAAGGCATTAAGTAGGGCTGAATAAATTTGCCCAGGAAGAAAGGGAAAGATTGGGGCTGGCTTGGCCCGAAGGCCAACTCACGCAAACAAGAGTAAGATGAATACCAAAGTGACTGTCGATCATAAAGTTAGTCAAATTTAGAAAGTATTTATTATCCCTCTTCTGATTTTCATCTTCGGCGCTATCCTTGGTATACTTACAAGCCAACCTCGCCAACAATTAGCTCCTCTTAGACTTGGGAATTACGTCTAATCTTATTATCAGCTTCAACCAAATCCGAAGTTACTTTCAGTCTCAAAGCATGGGGAAAACAGGGCTTAACACAGTCCTGTGTAAAGTCATTGTCGAAATCAATACGTGGACTCAGTAATGTAATTGTGAAATGGTACTCTTCTAAATGGGTTGTGGTGGTTAATAGCCTGTCAGAGGAACATGATGATAGACCATATTTTAGCCGTAGAAGTAGTTCTTAACCATTCTGTGATAGAGAGATTAGAAATTCTTCCACGCCATAGTAGCTTTCATAAATGGTGAAACCAAGTATTACAGTCGTAACAAATTCATGTTTGCTTTCCTCTATTACTAATGTAACGTTATGTGGCTTACCACTTACTTAGTAATCGTTGGTCATACGGTTCGTTAAATAAACAAGGTAACACGGTGAATGCTTTACTTTTGGTGCATTGTGACGTGCAGCGCAACCTTTCAGTCCATTTTTGATGGACATAACCACCCCAGAATCCGTAATGCTCATGGCGACTTCCATGTTGTCATCTCCTCTTCATTCAGACAACATAGAAACGAGGAGTTTAGTTATGGCGAGCCACCTTATGTTTAAGTTATAAAGCAAATGTCTGCGGGTCATTAAGGTCCAATGGTGGGATGAGATCAAGTCCTTCTCTGTTGGTCGATGACATCTCTCAGTTATGTGGTTATTTTTGATTTATCGTCTTATTAACATGCTACTTATAGGACACTTCATTTTTACGGCTGGTGCGCCGATTTTATGCTTTTTACCGGCGTCTTACCATGATTGACTGAGTAGAGAATTGGAAATCACATATCAGTTGTTTGTTCGTAGAAATGACACATCTCAATGAGAAAGCAGAGTATCTACAGACCTTCTTGATATTGTGATGCTCCCCAAGCAATGAAACAAGACTATGGGTTGTGCTCCTTAAGCCGGCCACGGCAGCCATTGTATTTCTTTGTTCTGATAAATGCCAGTTGTAGATATTCGCTCGTAGTGATAACTATTTTCCTTATGTCTTCGTTTGTTCAAATGCCGTACCCTAAGGCATTGTAAGGAAGCACTATGTTGTACTCTCATTTTAGTAAGTAAAAGGAATTTTACCTATAAAATGCTACCCAATGTTGTGGTCTTAATCCTTTACACAAAAGAGCATAAGTAACAAACGTAATCGAGTTGATAGTGCAAGAATTTGTGCAAAGTGGAGCAATTACTCCACATTTAAACGTTCCACCGCCAAACTCATTCACCTGCTAACTTAACTTCTCCCCTCCGTTGCTCTAAGGTCTTTATTAACTGCCAACTCGTCGGGTGGAGCAGCATGGCCAGAATTGTGGGTCGACCATTATACAATTCTTTATGTCTCTGTGTTTACTTTAGAACAGTCTGGCAATGATTTTCTGATCCATCTAGACATGTCTTAGAACAATTTGGCAGTGGTTTTAGGGACTGGGCACGCCACTGCATTTAAACATCCGGTGTTTGAGTAGAGCGTGGAAAGTTGTCAATAGAGAAGAGTATCGGTGCTGTTAGCACTACCTCGGAGGTCATCTACCCCACCATGGCATTAGAAACCATCTAAGCTACGTCAACAAAAAATGGAAATCAAATCATTAGAATAATCAACATCTCAATTCCGCGTACCTTTCCCGCGATATACAGTTCGTCTCTTGCCCGACTGTTAATGAGCCTGCCTTGGACCATTGAGGGAGTCAGATGTCTTGTTTAAGTGGGATAGTGCATAGGCGACTTCTCTCTTGTTGTGTTTCATTTTCTATAATCGACACTCAGTCGAAGACTTCCGCCCTCTATGGCCTTGGCTCTCGGCGTCTTGTCAAATAGACCATTTACCTCTTTGAACAAGGGGGATAATATGCTTCTCATTGTCCCATTGGCTAACTTCGGTTTTACGGTTTTTGGCCCTCCCATCATCTAAAATTCTTTCTCCGCATTGATAATGACATGAGTAAAATGATGATCAAAGATTGTAGCGCATTAATTTGTTTATTTGACTACCTGTAGGACTGGCGGTTACTTTGGTATATGTCGTACTCTTGTGCGAGCGGGGTGGCCTTCGTGCCTAGGTAAGGACTAGTCCCTTCCTCTCCTCCAAGTGATGATCCAACTTAATGCCACCTTCCGCCTAGCGGACGGTCTCAAGACGTAGCAGTAGCGCTCCGAGACTTCCCATTTGGTAGTGGAAGGCATTAGACATGGCTTAATACTCGCACTTAGCGGGACTGATCGGATGTATGGCTTTGGCTTGGTCCGAAAGCCAAGATGAACATCAAGTCGATCGCCGGTCCTACAGGTATCCAACTAAACAGGGTCCTGCAAATGTGGTCCAAGTTATTACTACGTATTATCGTGCCTCCCAACAAGGCAGTCTAAATACTACTAAAACGCTCTTATTGTCGATTTGAATTACCGTGAATTTTGGGTCTTGGTGTGCAGATTAAGTGTTGTGTGCGTAATTCAGCGCAACCTCATTTCTAGGTCGAATGTCAACTGGTGGAATTACATTGTAGAGCGAATCGAAGGATGCAGGAAGCTAGTTGTGTGGTTAATGCTGATCCGCCAATCTCAGTCGTTTGATAAGTTCATGTAGGAGATTTTAATATCCACCATTGGAAGGAAAATTGTTTGAGGTCCAACGAGTGAATGAGAAGCATGCCAAGCGAACGGAGAAAGTGCTAACGCCAGCCTCGGGAGGAGGATGTTGAAGTTGGGTGACAAAGGGGAACGATGCGACTTGGGCGCGTAGATGACTTAACTCCGCCTCGAGAGTTTATGTTTCTCTTCCAAGGTGAGTGTAGTACTCTTTTTAGTCCTTAAAAAGCTAATTAGGGATGAACTGTAAAAAGGTTGATGAGACGGCCCATGCAGCCTCCTTGTTAACGCCTTGCTGTCTCCTCTTACCTCTTTTGATTTCAATAGACATCTCCAGTTGGTCTGTAGGCTCTGGAAGATGACAATTTGAGACATAATGCTGCAACATTTTTCGACTTCAGCACTAGAAGTTGCATCGACATTTACAGTAGTCGAGAATAGGTTGTGGGGAAAAGTGTGTAGAAGGTGTTGTGACCTTTGATGCTAAAGCTAAGCAAAGGTCAGGTTCTGGTGTGTTCAAGCCATTTTCATAATCCCTGTCACTTTTGAGAGGTCGAAGATTTGTCTACACGCCTGTCAGTGTGAAATATCCCATAGCTTCGGATCTTTCCAACTAGAAGATTGTGTAAAGAAGGAGGTACTGTGATTTGAGGCTCCAAGGTGAGTGGAAGCAGAGGGCGTCACCTGAGGCGTTTGGAGGAGGAGCAATCAAACGTCTCGTCACTACCTAGCAATGTGCTAAAAAGCTGGTCGACTACAGACAAGGCCTTCAAACAGAAGTATGTCCTTCCCAGTTTCAACCCAGCAAATGGAAAAGATTTTTGCCTATAAAATCAAGAAAGCGACTACATAAATCATCCACATGTTTTGTTTTCCTTACACAAATTCGCCTTCACTTTTCGATTGTGTGGATGACAATTTTAGTTTGTAATGTCGAACTGCTCGCACCATGGGACGATTTTCCGTTCCCACGCACAATCTTTAAGCGGCTGCCAACACTCCCATTCTCTAGCACATTCTTCATCATCTCATTAAGCTTTTTTGGCGTCTACTTTTGCCCTACCAGTGATTTGCGCGTTGGGATATTTTATACCCGAGGCCACCTTTTGGCTTCCGTTTGCACAGGCCACTTTCCCCTCTTAACACTCTTGACGGTCACTTGGCGATGGGGAGTCATAACCAATGCGACCGACATTTTTGACACGTCTGTTGGAGATACAACATACAAACATTTTCTGGTGGTATTAGGCGCCCGCACCTCATTTTCGGAGCACAGCAAGAAAACCATCCAAGGAGGTGTCAAGTGAGACTTCAAATGTGTTCAAAAAATGCAAAATATTACAACGACAAAATAAAATGACTGAAAGACTAATAAGCTTACATTTTTTTCTTTCTTCCTATCAACTTATTCACACACTTTGGTAAAGATTTGTTCTACATCAGACTTTGTAAAATTGAGTGCTCTCCAAACCCCAGCCACTTGAGAGGACGCGTTTGTTGCCGCCTGTCTGAGAGAAATGCCTTTACATTCTCCTTCTTGCACACCTCCAAATTACCAGAAGTTATGAGATGGTTGCTGCTCAACGTCCTTTCGGCTAAAAAAGCACCTTTTCACAATCAGCATGTTACGCCTCCGTGATCGAAGCCTCGTTTATGGCCTGTTAATAGCTCCTTGCAGACAGCAACAGTGGACTTTATGCAAATTAAGTCCATAGAAGGGTAAATACTGTGCTCGTAACGAAAAATCAGGCCACCACTTTGCCCCATCTGGGATCATTAGGACTCTCGCACAAAC